GGTCTTTGGACAAGACCGCACAGGTAGGCAGTGTCTGCTTCATGACAGCTGGGCATGAAGAGTATAATGCCTGGAGACTCTTTCTCCTTCTGCTGGTTGTTTGTCTGCTCTTCTGACTGCAAACTCTTGCTTTTCTTCCCCAAGAAAAGCCCAGTCGTTTTGATATCTCTCATTTATATTGAATTTTGAGGTTTACAGAGCATTTGCACATGCATTAATAATGTAATTTTACAAGGCTCAATGAGGAATTCCTCCTGTACTAAAAGGACACTGACATATTAACTTACTTACTATCCCATATCTAAGAGCTAGCACTTGGTTAACCTATAAATAAAAACCCTAGTTTCTGACTCCTAGCCCACCTCATAAAGTACTATACTCAGGGTCAAAAATTATGTCCTTTCCCACTTTATGCTTTTCCAACAGTGGATCACAGTGTCCCCAAAGCTAACCTTAAAAACGAAAGGAAGAGACTCCTGGCATTGTCTCTACACTTTTATTTATTCATTCTGCCTATTTTTTTCTCCCCTTATTGCAATCCTAGGATGAGAAATCTATCCTAGAACTTTACTTAAATTACATGTTTCAAATAAAAAATATTAAAATATTTTTTGAGGCTTAAACCTGCCAATCCTCAAATTTATTCAAGCGCCCATACTCCTCAGAGACACCATCAGTTAGAGTTCCTATTGTGTTAGGAGTTGTTTGAAGAATCTTTGTATTGGCTTCTTAATCCCCTTCACCTATTTTGCCCATTCCCCTACCCTCTCCCCTCTGGTAGCCACCAGTTTGTTCTCAGTATTTGAGATTATTTCTGGTGTGTGTGTGTGTATAATACTTTGTTAAGGAAAGAGAGATCAAATTATCTCCCTTAATGTCACAGTCCTCACAAGTATGTGTTTGGCTTTTTGTTGTTTGTTTGTATGTATATAGAGAGAGTGTGTGTGCAAGGGGGGAGGGGCAGAGGGAGAGAGACAATCCCAAGCAGACCCTATGCTCAGCACAGAGCCCAACTCGGGGCTTGATCTCACAACCCTGAGATATGACCCAAGCAGAAATCAAGAGTCAGCCTCTTTACCAACTGAGTAGTCCAGGTACACTCCACACAAGTATAATTTTAATTTTAAAATTACAAAAAATATAAAAAATTTTAGTATTTATCTGAAGTATAAATTTGAAGTAGTACACATCAAATCACATAGTTACAAAATTGTGTGTGGTAAGAAATTTTACCTATTCTTAACAATTCTCAAATCTATGATACACTATTTTTAGCTAGGGTCCAATGTGCTGTACATTACATGCTCAGAATTTATGTGTCTTAAAACTGGAAGTTTGTACCTTTTGACTATCTTCACCCATTTTGCCTAGAAAGAAACTTCTATGCAGACGCTGACAGGACTGCCTGTCAGTTGGTTCCCAGTTGGTTTGTCAGTTGGTTCGCAGACTGGCCCCATACACAGAGGGCATGGAGAGATTGTAGAAAGGGGCAGATGACTCCAAATAGGTAGATGGTCATTTAATAAACAAAGGAGCTTACTTATGAGCCTTGTTTTAGGCAGCCTCAGGACACTAGATCTCTGCACTCGCTTGCCAGAATCGTAAGTTATATAGAAACCTTAACTGGGTTCAGTCACATCTACTGTCCAGATGGTCCCAACATGTTATTCTCAAGACTACATCCTTAAAAATGGGAAGCGGCGGGGGGTGGGAGGTTGGGGGAACCAGGTGGTGGGTATTAGAGAGGGCACGGATTGCATAGAGCACTGGGTGTGGTGCAAAAACAAGGAATACTGTTATGCTGAAAATTTAAAAAAAATTTAAGAAAAAAAATGGCTTCCATTGTGGGGGTGGCGGCCACAGCATACATTCTGAGGACAGGGAAGGGGGTCAGGAGCCACTGATTATGTGGGTCAGCTTGTGTGTCAGCCAGCAGTCCCATCCTCTCAAAGACCTCCTCTAACAGACTCTCAGTTCATTCAGGACTCAGCTTAAAAATCGTCACTGCTTCAGAGAGTCCTCCCTTGAATACCTCTCTAATTACCAGCCTTTGCTCTAACATTGCTTTATTTTCTTCATGGTATTTCTCAACACTTGACTACAACTATTTCTTAATGGGCTTACTGACCTCCCCCATTACAATGTAAGCTTTATGAGAGCAGGAATTTTGTTCATTCAGTAAGTATCTTCAGAGCACAGAAGACTCTCAATGGATCACTGTTGGGTGAGAGAAGTATAAACTGTTTGAAAAAATATATGTAGTAGGAATTATTATCTCTTTTATGGATGAAGAAACTGGAGTTTATATGGGAGAAATAACTTGGGGCCACAAAGGTAGGATATGATCATGCCTAAAAATGAATCAAATTTGATATGTTGTAATAAACCCAGCTCTTCATCACATCTCAATGACTAAAACACAACTATACTATAAGAAATTACATTATATGGGGTCCTGGCTCAGTCGTTAAGCATCTGCCTTCAGCTCAGGTCATGATCCCAGGGTCTTGGGATCAAGCCCTGCATTGGGCTCCCTGCTCGTTGGTCTCTCTGTCAAATAAATAAAATAAAATAAATTTAAAAATAAATTACATTATATTCTCTGAGTCACAGGGTGCCTTTGGGGAGAAGGAAAATGTCAGAGTAATAGTAGTAACAGGGAATCAGAAAAAGTTTTGTGGAGGATGATACTTTTTTAACCAATAAAATGAGGCTTATTTTTTTAATCAGTTTTATTTTTATTTATTTAGTTTATTTTTTAAAGAAGTGTACTTATTTATTTTGAGAGAGAGAAAGAGAGCACAAGCAGGGGAAAAGGCAGGCAGAGGGGGAGAGAGAAGCAAGCTCCCAGTCAAGCAGGGAGCCTGATGTGGGACTTGATCCCAGGACCCTGGGATCATGACCTGAGCCAAAGGTAGATACTTAACTGACTGAGCCACTCAGGTGTTTCTAAAATGAGGTTTAATGAATCATATGACAATAAAATTTTAAAATTCATCAGTTGATAAGACCAAATATATCTTTATTTTATTTTTAATTTAATTTAATTTTAATTCCAGTATATTAACCTACAGTGTTATATTAGTTTTGGTTGTAGAATATAGTAATCAAACAATTCCATGTAACACCAAGTGCTCATCATGACAAGCGCCCTCCTTAATCCCCATCACCAATTTCACCCAAATCCCTATCCGTCTCCCCACTGGTAACCATCAGTTTGTTCTCTCCATTTCTTGATTTACCTATCTCTCTGGTTTTTTTCCCCTTTGCTTTTTGTTTTGGAGTCTTGATATCCCTGACCCTGGTTCATTCCAGTCTTTGTGACTGGAGGCTTATTTTCTTACTATTTTTCATATTCTCCTCAAAAAGGTAATATTCCTATTTCACACAATATCTCAAAATTAAAAAGCTAAATGGAAGATTTTGCATGGTTACATGGTTTGTTGTAGTTGTTATCTAAGAAGTTTATACTTTTTGGAATTGGATATTGGGAATCACTTTAGTACAGAATAACGTGTATGCGTGTGTGTGTATGTGTGCGTAAATGTGCACATACAAATCTTTGCTTTCTGTTTTCTACCTTAAAGCTATTGAAAGAACATAACCATCTCACTTACACATGAGGACAGACTACTTTAAGTGCTTACCAAAAGCTACAATACACTAATACAAAAGCTACACTACTCTAATATTCTCTCATTAACAACAGGAAGAAATCATCAGAGAAAGGGATTGAACAGTAATAATAATAAAAGTAGCATAATAATTAAAGCTGCATAGAGGTTATAATAATGTACTCAGTTAAGAAAAAAAAGTTGGTTCACAGGGGACATTGTTTTATTTGTAATAAAACAGGCAAAGATACGAGTTCTGACTCCAACACTTACTAGTTGTGTAAGCTTGGAATATTTACATAAACTCATTTATAAAATACAGAAAAGCTCTATTTTCATGTTTGGTGACTTAGGGCATGGTTTTACTTAATCTCTTTGTCTCTCAATTGATCTACAAAATGGATATAATAACAGCATCTAGGGTGCCTGGACAGCTGAGTCAGTTATTTGTCTGCCTTTGGCTCAGGTCATGATCCCAGGGTCCTGGGATCAAGCCTGCGTTGGGCTCCCTGCTGAGTGGGGAGCCTTCTCCCCATCCCTCTGTCACTTCCCCTGCTTGCACTTGCTCTCAATACCTCTCTCTCTCTTTTTGACAAATAAATAAATAAAACCTTTAAAAAAATAACAGTATCTATTTCATGGGGTTGTTATATAGCATAAATGAGATTGTAAATAAAATGTTCTTAATATTGTGGCTGCCACATGATAGGGACTCAGTAAATGCAAGCAACTCCTCTGTTAACTGCTCCTTGCTCTCCTCTTCTGCAGCCCACGGCAACAGCTTCCCTTCTAGCACTGCCCTGTTCCCACCATCTCCAGCGTGCCTTCATTCCTCTCCTACCTGGGTAATAACATGGGTAGAAGAAACAAAGTCAAAACCAGCAACTCAGAGCAGAGATGGAAAGCTTGGAAGAAACCAATGCTCTGTGAGACTGGGTCCGGGACTGAATGAGCAAGTTGAAGACACCAAAGCCACAAGGAGAAAATCATGGGATGCCAGTGAGGGAGAGGTTAAGTTCTGAGACATCAGAGGCGAACACAGGTTACTGTGCATTGAAAACCAACAAAACCTGGCAGCAGCTCTGTATAGTTTCTCTAAAGGAGACTGAATAACACAAGGGTTATTTTTCATTGCTAGAAGAGTCTGAAATTCAATCTGTGGAGATGAAATGAGTTTTACTTCTAAATGTCACATAGGAGTAATAAACACTGAAGCTAAATGAACCATCAACCTCTTGATAAAAGCTTCAACTGAAAGTCGGTTTTAGTCTCTCAGTTTCTGGAAATTCTGTGTCAGTTAGAAATTACATCATTCATCAGATCTTGGATCACCAAATGCTGTCAGATGACAACATGTGTCTAATATGAACCTTTTCCCTGAACCCATCAGCCTATGACAAGTGGAAGGATGGACACAGGAAATCATTCTTTGGTAACTGAGTTTATCCTTGAGGGGTTAACAGACCAGCCAGGACTCCAGCTCCCCCTCTTCTTCCTGTTTCTATTGATCTATATGGTCTGCATGGTGGGAAATTTGGGCTTGATCTTTTTAATCAGAATTAGTTCTCAGCTTCACACACCCATGTATTATTTTCTCAGTAATTTGTCCTTCATAGATCTCTGCTACTCCACTGTCATAATTCCTAAGCTCTTGGTGAACTTTGTTTCAGAGAAGAATCTCACCTCCTTTCCTGAGTGCATGACTCAGCTCTTTTTCTTCTGCTTCTTTGGCATTGATGACTCCTACATGCTGACAGCAATGGCGTATGATCGCTATGTTGCCATCTGCAACCCCTTGCTCTACAATGTCACCGTGTCCCACAGAATCTGTTTTCTACTAGTCACTAGTGTGTATACAGTGGGCGCCTTTGGAGCTTTGGTCCACACCAGCTACATATCCAGTCGATCCTTCTGTGGAACTAATGTCATCCACCATTACTTCTGTGACATCCTTCCCCTTCTGAATATATCTTGCTCAAGAGACTACACTAAGGAACTCTTGGTGATGATTTTGGTTGGATTCAATGTATTTGCATGTGCTTTAGCCATCTTTATCTCATATGCCTTCATTCTTTCCAGCATCTTACACATCCGCTCAGCTGAAGGCAGGTCCAAAGCTTTCAGCACCTGCAGCTCCCACCTTGCAGCTGTTGGGCTCTTCTACGGCTCAATCATCTTCATGTATTTTAAACCATCTACCAGTGACATAACACAGGAGAAGGTGGCTTCTGTGTTTTATACGACAGTGATTCCCATGCTTAACCCCCTTATCTACAGCCTTAGGAATAAGGATGTCAAAGAATCCCTTAAAAAAGTTCTAAATGGTGGGTTACTTTCTTGGTCAACATAGAAAACAGCACTTTTTAAAAGACCCAGCAGCTCTGAACATAGATCTTATCTAAAGTTTTCTTCTTGTTTTTAAGAGTAATCAATTAGTTTCAAGTCAAGGACCATCTTAAATTAAAAGGTCTGAATGATTTTTTGTGGGGGGATGATCATCCCTTCCTCTTTAGTCCCCCTACTCCCAACACCCAGTATCCTTTTACTATGTCTAGTCCAGCCACTCAGGAAACAGACTTCCTCACCTATACTGTTACCCAGTTTAAATACATATATATCAGAAACTTTCTTTCTATAATTTGTCCTTGTTAAACTGAAATTTCCTAATCAAATCTATTTCATTATTATTTATTTATTATTTTTATTATTATTATGTTCAGTTAGTTGTATTTTAAAGTTGTAATGTCTAATAATGGCTGAATATGTAAATGCCCTCAGGAGTTTGTATATTAACACACAAGAGGGTTACAGAAGCAATAGACATTGCTTAGTAGAATTTGAAGGGAATCCAGTTGCTAGTAAACAAGAAGAGATAATATTTTCATAAGACTTCCAGCTGTTGTTAGAACCACTGAAAATAAGATCTGTCTTGTGGAGGTGTCAAATGGGGTGAAGGCTGGGTGAGGGGATGGCAGAAAGGGACAAAATGATTTTTCATTTTTAGTTTTCACTATGATTTTAATTTACATGTTTTCTTTCCAACTTACTGCATACTTTGACTCCTTTCTGTTGAATCTCAAGATGACTTCCCTATGGATGACTCTCTTAATTATCCACTGTAATTCTCCCACCATTCAAAATAATCCCTGAACCTCAATACATCACTAAAATTCATTCATTTAGTCAGTCAATCAATAATATTTGCTGGGGAACTATGAGCCAGACAAACAAAATTTCTATCTTTTGATGGGAACATTTTATCCCACTGAATAGGGTTTGAACAGAAGAATGACCTGATCTGATTAATAGATAATTATTAGAAAATTAGATAATAATAGATTATTCTTACTCCTTTAACTGGATGGGCCTAGAAGCAATGAAATTCAAGTAACAAACTTTATGCCTATTATCCAATTTCTAACTATCACACTCCACTGAGAGAAACCAGGACTTCATGAAGAAATGGTAAACTCCAAGGTGGGACCTAAAATTGAAGATGAGCCTAGAATATGTTAGTATTCCATAGAATAAATAAGTGCCCCAATTTATGGAAATGTGTTAAAAGGAAAGACCTTCTTCTGGACAAATTTAGGACAATTTGAACATCAAAATGGCTTATGAAAGTCTATAGGTCCTTACTGATGTAAAAATAATAATGACTATAAAATAGAACATAGTAGAAAAGGGAAAGCTCTTCACAAAACAATATCAATGAGTAAATTTATAAGAAATTACATAATTAGGAACTTATAATATTGCAATAACCATACTAATAAATGAATTACATAAGAATCACCAACAGAAATTCTATGTAGTCTTGGTCATTTTTGTATTAGTAAAGAACTGAAGGAGTTCTTTTTTTTTTTTATAATGTCACTTGCATGTATATATGTGTATATATATATGCATGTGTGTACTCTTTTTAAAGATTTTATTTATTTATTTGACAGACAGAGATCACAAGTAAGCAGAGAGGCAGGCAGAGAGAGAGGAGGAAGCAGGCTCCCCTCTGAGCAGAGAGACCAATGTGGGGCTTGATCCCAGGGGCCTGGGATCATGACCTGAGCCGAAGACAGAGGCTTAACCCACTGAGCCACCCAGGCACCCCAAGAACTGAAGGAATTCTTATAAAGTTATTTTCCTCATTTAGATTATATGAAGATAAAGGAGATGATGTTTTCTAGGTTCCTACTCTATGCCTAACTAGATACTTCAGAATTTCCTACTTAGTTTATTAAATAAGCTTGATATGCAGAAAATTCCAGAAAAATAATGCAGATCTCTAGGGGTAGTGAAGCATATCTAATTCAACTTATCATTTTCTTAGTGATAAAACCTGAGACTCAGAAAGGGTCTTCTTTCCCCTCTATCTTCCCTTCTTCTCAGTTTATGTTTCCCCAACTCTGCATACTCACTCTCTCATAGGTCTCCACATCCCTTCCTACCCCCACATGTAAGAATGAGGACAATTTAAATTTCCTAGTGTCCATTTACTTAATATTGAAAGAAACAAAAATGTGAACTTCACTTACCAGTAAGGACGATAAACACAAATTACAGAATTATTAATCTAAATATAAATATGAATAAAATAAAATAAAATAAATATATAAGTAAAATATAAAAAAGCTTCCATTTAAAAAAAATCCATGAAATGAACATCAAAATATGGTAGTAATAGAAATTGCTGTATTCACAAAATTCTGGGAATTCTTACTAATGTCATCATTTTACGGATTAATAGACTGATGCTGAGGACAAATCTATATTCCTCCTCCTTTTATGACTGAGACTACAAATCACCATTAGTTAGAAATATTACATATATGGAAGAGATTAAGAAGAGATGCAACATACAACCCATCCAGAGTCTCTTGAATGTAGAATTTCCTAATCCTTTTTTGGATCAGAGATCATTTAGGTGGCCAGATGAAGAATTAGATTCTTAGAAAAGTATTTCTAACTATATAACATACATATGATTAAACATTATAATAAACTAAACTACTGATATCAAAATATTTAAAATAAATTTGTGATTTCTTTATTAGAGAATTAAATCACATGATCTGGTAGCAGATCTAATAATTACTATAATTTGAAGTAGTGATGGTTATAAATGTTCATGATCAATACTCCATTTCATCCTAAGAACCCCTTTGACATAAGTACAACTTCATGCGATGGGAAAGTAAGTGTGATTCTGTTGATAAAAAAGTTATATATAATTACATATTTTAACATGATTGGTTACTAAGATTTTGACTTGAAGGTAATGTTAAATTTTAAATTAAAGATTAGTTAAAATAAAATTCCTATCCAAGTGTTCAGACCCATAAACTCCAATTTAAGAAGTGCTTTTCTAATGGAAGCAAAGTCTCCAGAGCTCCATACTCAATCTTAGCAATAAGTTAAATTCTAAGACTATCCCAATGGGCATAACCTCCTCCTCTGAGTAGGTGGAGTAAATTCTGACTCAACACATAAAACAAAATCTCAGGAAAAAGCACAAAATTCTGTTCATCTATTATGAAGCACACACAAAATTCTCTCTTCCTTCTGCTCCCTACTCCCAGGATAAAGAAAAGTGGATAAAACATAACAAATTACTTAAATTACATCTAAAGGGGAAAATGAATAAGTTCTCAGATGATCTGGAAGAGGACTCCATGTGAATTCAAACATTATGTATATGGGAGATATACAGAACTATCTACATTGTGAATGAGCAATAGAAAAGATAACACATGGCAACTTCAACCATTCCAGAGGAAATAAAGGAAGGAAGGAAAGTTAGAAAAGTGAACAACACAGATGAAATGATCATTTTTTGTCAAGGACTACTGCACATACCCAAGAACACCTCTTCTCTTTCTAAGGAGACAGTAGGTATCTTGTTCAGCAGAGACATGAAACTCCCATACATCATGGGTATATCATATAGGTTATAATGATCAGAGACTAAGCAATTTCTTCCATTTAAAATTGGTTATTTTGCTTCTTCTATGATGATGATGATGCATGAACAATGAATCTTGGAGCACTGAAAAAATAAAATAAAGTTAAAAAAAGAAGAGTTGTATAATATTTTTGTTTATAAAAGTTTGTGAAGCACAAAACCATTTTAATAAAATGATTTTGGTCTGTTCTTCTGTGTATCTATGTAGCTATTTATCCCTTTATATATGATTATTTACTGATATTTTACTTTGTGTATGTAATAAAATGTGAGATAACTTTTACTGCTCTTCTATTTTACTTTTATCTTATTTGAATGTCTTTTTAAAAATATGAAGGGAGAGAAATCTGAGAGGGAGATGAACCATGAGAGGCTATGGACTCTGGGAAACAAATTGAGGATTTCAAAGGGGAGGGTGTGGTGGGGAATGGGATAGCAGAGTGATGGGTATTAAGGGGGGTACGTGTTGTGATGAGCATTGGGTGTTATACGCAACTAATGAATCATTGAACACTACTCTAGAAACTAATAAGGTACTATACAGTAGCTAACTGAATATAACAAAAGAATTAAAATAATTAACTTAAAAATAATTAAAATAAGCATGCATTTTTTTAATAAAAATGAAGCAATTCTAAAAAAGGTATCGATGGATTTGTCTGTAAAAAATAAAATGTTGTCATCTGTTCCTTGTGTAATGTGCCAGGAAATTTTGTTTTGTTTTTCAGTAAGTCTTTCTGTAGTTTGTTGTGTTTTTCTAGATTGTTGAGCCAGGAAATGGGTTGTGCTGAAAATGTGAGAGGACACCACTATATATTGTCTCTTTAACTTTCACTACACTGAGGAGTAAATGCAGCATTAAAACAGATCTGATAGTATTAAAACAATCAGTAGATAAGCTGAAGGAGAGAATAGTTACTGCAATGTCATCATGTCCCAAAAGATATGCAATGTGTTGATGACTGGGGTCTATATGGTGGCAGCGTTAGGAGCTGTACCCACATGATCTCCATGATCAGACTTTCCTCTTGTGGGGTATTATCATCCAGCATTACTTCTATGACATATTTCCTCTCCTGAGGCTCTCCTGCTCCAGAACATACCTAAATAAGCTCTTCATGATACCTCTAGCTGAATTCAATCTGTTGGCAACAGCTACCATCATCATCTCTTACATCTTCATGCTCTCCAACATTCTTTTTTTTAAATTTTTTAGAAGATTAAAATTTTTTTAAGATTTTTATTATTTATTTATTTGAGAGGGAGAAAAAGAGAGCACAAGCAGAGGGAGAGGGGCAAGCAGACTCCACAATGAGCACGGAGCCTCAAGAGGGGCTCGATTCCACCACCCTGAGCTGATGACCTGAGCTAAAATCAGGAGCTGGGCGCTCAACTGACTGAGCCACCAGGCGCCCCTCTCCAACATGCTTTGAAAACCCTCAGGGGCAGGCAGGTCCAAAGAT